GTGGGCTTAAAAGGAACATACCTCAATATAATAAAAGTCATATATAACAAATGTAAAGCTAACATCATACTCAATGGAAATGCTGAAAGCATTTGCTCTAAGATCAGGAACAAGACAAAGATGTCCACTCTCACAACTTTTATTCAGCATAATTTTAGAAGTCCTAGCTATAGCAATCAGAGAAGAAAAGAAATAAATGGGAATCCAAATTAGAAAAGAAGAATTTAAACTGTCACTTGCAGATGACAATATACTATAAGATCCTAAAGATGCTATGAGAAAACTACTAGAACTCATCAATGAATTTGGTAAAGCTTCAGGTTAAAAAAATTAATACACAGAAATTTGATGCACTTCTATACACTAACAATGAATGATCAGGAAGAGAAATTTAAGAGAATTTAAGTAAATTCCATTTACTGTCACATCAAAAACAATAAAATACCTAGGAATAATCTTACTTAAGGAGGCAAAAGACCTGTACTCTGAAAAATATAAGATGCTGATGAAAGAAATTGAGGAAGACACAAACAGATGAAAAGATATATCACGTTTGTGGATTGGAAGAATCAATGTTCTCAAAATGACTACACTACTCAAGGCAATCTACAGATTCAGTGCAATCCCCTGTCAAATTACCAATTTTATTTTTCACAGAACAACAACAAAAATCTCAAAATGTGTATGGAGACACAAAATATCCTGACTAGCCAAAGCAAACTTTAGGGAAAAAAAAAAAACTAGTTGGGGGAATTAGGCTTCCTGATTTCAGACTATACTGCAAAGCTATAGTCATTTAAACGGTATGATACTGGCACAAAAATAGATATAGAACAAGATAGAAACCCCAGAAATAAACCTACACACCTATGGTCAATTAATCTACGATAAAGAAGGCAAGATTATACAATGTTGGAAAGACAGTCTCTTCAACAAATGGTGCTAGGAAATCTGTACAGCTACAGATTTTAAAAAAATTAAATTAGATAATTATTTAATACCATATAAAAAAAAGCTCAAAAAGGATTAAAGATCTAAATGTGAGATTGCACAAAATAAAACTCCTCGAGGAAAACAGAACACTCTCTGAATAAATTGCAGCAATATTTTTTTTTTGATACATGTTCCAGAATGATGGAAATAAAAACAAAAACAAATGGGACATACTTAAACTCAAAAGCTTTTGCACAGTAAAGGAAACAATAAACAAAATGAAAAGACAACCCACTGGTTGGGAGAAAATATTTGCAGATGATGTAACCAACAAGGGATTAGTCCCCAAAATTTACAAACAGCTCATGATACTTAGCAGCATCAAAACAAACAACACAATCAACAAAATAACAGAGGACATAAATAGATATTTCTCCAAAAAGATATTCAGATGGATGGTCAAGAGGCACATGAAAATGAAAATGTTCAACACTGCTATTTATTAGAGAAATATGAATCAAAACTACAATGAAATATCACCTCATACCAGCCAGAATGGCTACCATCCAAAAATGCACAAACAATAAATGCTGGAGGAGATGTAGAGAGAAGGGAATCCTCCTATTCTGTTAGTGGGAATGTAAATTGGTATAACCACTATGGAGAACAATATGTAGGTTCTTTAAAAAGCTAAGAATAGAGTTACCATATGGTCATAGGCAGGGTGCCACAATCCCACTCCTGAGCATATATCCAGAGAAAAACATGATCTGAAGGGATACAGACATCCCAATGTTTATTGAAGCACTGCTTACAATAGCAAGACGGAAGCAACCTAGATGTCCATTAACAGAGGAATGGATAAAGAAGATATGGTATACATATACAATTGAATATTAATCAACCATTAAAAGAATAAACTAATGCCATTTGCAGCAACATGGGCCTAGAGATTACCACAGTGAGTGAAGTAAGTCATACAGAGAAGGAAAAATAGCATATGACAACCCTTATAAGTGGAATCTGAAAAGAAATGATACAAATGAATGTACAAAACAGGAAGACACTCTTAGACTTAGAGAACAATCTTATGGTTGTAGGGGAGAAAGCATGAGGGAAAGGGATAGCGAGTTGGGATGGATGTGTACTCACTGCTATATTTAAAATGGATAACCAACAACAACCGACTTACTGTATAGCACATGGAACACCGCTCAATGTAATGTAGCAGCTTAGATGGAAGGGGCGTTTGGGGGAGAATACATACATGCATGTGAGAAGTCGAGCCCCTTAACTGTTCACCTGAAACTATCACAGCATTGATAATCAGCTATATATAATCCAATACAAAGGAAAAAGCTAAAAAGAAGTTCTTGAAAACATCGAAGTTAAGCAAATGTTGATCAAACTAAATTTTTCAAACTAGTTGAGCATAAACTGAATACTGTATTTAAAAAGTTGCATTGCACAGATTGTTAAAAGCATGAACTGGTTTTTTAAAAAACTAAATTTAGTATTTCTTGCTATGCACATTTAGTGTTTCAACATATTGATTTATTAAACTTGTATCCACTGTAATTTCTTTATAAATAATTGTTGAAGTGAAAAAAATTCAGAGGTGGAGGAAAAATATTGAGAACAAGTTTAATTTACTAGCCAATGAATAATAAATTCAGACAATTCAATTAGGATTAAGCTTCTTCTAAACTAAAAAAATAGTAGAAATCCTTGTTATTTTAAAGTCTTTAAAGAAGTGTCTTTTTCTTTTGTTTATTTTGTTAAGGATTACCTATGCTAGCTAAGTGCTGTTATTTTTGGTTACTTTTTCAGCACAGTCCTCTGCCTTTTTAGATCATTTTGTTGACTGATTTAATTTTTGCTACAATATCCACTGAGTACATACACAAAGCATTTACATTAAAGAAGCACTTGGAATGGCTTTTCAGCTGTGTGCACAAGGAACGCCTTCTGCCCAGGCCTTTGGTGGCTGTTACATAAAGTATCATCTACCACGGATGGAATGCGATCCCAGGCGATCTTCCAAGTATTCCATCTGCATAACTTCGTTCAATACTCAACAGCAACGCTGTTAGCCGGTGCACTTCTGTTCAGTCACTCAGTGTCTGACTCTTTGCGACCCCATGCACGGCAGCAGGGCAGGCTTTCCTGTCCATCACCAACATCCAGGAGCTTGCTCAAACTCATGTTGACCCACCCTGACGTTGATGCCATGCCACCATCTCATCACCTGTGGTCCCATTTCTCCTCCTGCCTTCCATCTTTCCCAGCATCAGAGTCTTTTCCAGTGAGTCGGTTCTTCACATCAGGTGGCCAAAATATTGGAGTTTCAGCTCCAGCATCAGTCCTTCCAATGAATATTCAGGACTGATTTCCTTCAGGATGGACTGTTTTGATCTCCTTGCAGTTCAAGGGACTCTCAAGAGTCTTCTCCAACACCACAGTTCAAAAGCATCAATTCTTTGGCACTCAGCTTTCTTTATGGCTATTAAGGTTACTATTAATATTATTGCCTTCTTCTTCTTCTTCTTTTTAATACAGAAGCGGAAACTAAGGTATACAAGCCCTTAACTTGCAGGAGATCACATGGACAGAGAGAGGTGCGCCAGGATTCCAATGTGCCTTTGGTTCCTGAGCCTGCTAACCTCATGATCTTGCCTTTCTGTCCCATCCGTCAGTGCGTTAGTTCATCAGTACACTACTCCGATTCACAGAACTTCATGTCTGTGACAACTGTGGCAAAACAAGGGATATGCTTTGCGCTGATGAAGCCCGTCACGCCACTGGCAGGCGCCAACTCTCAGTGCGCAGGCGCCAATTCTCAGGGAGCCGGACGGGTCCTGTCTCCTAGGTAACAACTGAAGCACAGGCGACAGGTAAAACTCCCTTCTCCGCAGACCCAGAGGGCTGACGTCATTTCCTTCCTCTGGGCGGTGGCCTCAGTGACACGTAGGGCTGTAGGGCGGTGTTAGGTACCGAGGCCTGGGGCGGGAGAAGTCACTTCCTCCCAGAGATCTTGTATCCTAGCAACCGCCCCCCCAAACTCTGTCCTTAGTCCCGCCTCCTCGCTCCCTGAGAAGCCAGGTCTCTGAAAGCAGCCAGGCGCAGGCCGAGTAGAGGGGCCAGCCGCTGGGTTCTCGGGTCGCGCGCGGGCTACCCTCCGCAGGAACGCCAGGTGAGTACAGAAGCCGGGACTTGCGGGTCTCGGAGAACTGCGGCCGGGGCCACGCTCGGCTGTGCACTGGCCTGGCTAGTGGCGGCTGCTGGGTCGGCCGCGATGGGCCGAGCGGTCAGGAACAGGGCGTCAGCTTGTAGGGCCAGAGCGGTCCCCGCGCGCAGCGGAGGGCAGCGGGCGGCCCGGCAGTCTCCTCCTGGAGCAACTGGAAACCTTCACAGGACCGTTTGACACTGATTTTGAAAAGCTTCATTTTGTTTTGTCCAATTGTATTAACACTTTTGTGAGAGGGACGAGTGAAAGAAAAAAGAAAATTTAAATGATGCTCTTAGATGATCCTTTATGCTGACTGTAGTCTTCTTTTAAAAAGTATGGCTTTTAAGTAAAAGTAGACTTTTCATTTTTAAAATAAAAGTAGCCTTTTAAATAAGTATGGCTCTTTTGGAGGCAGTATTATACTTTTGAATGGAAGAGAGGTGGAAAAGTTTCTGTTTTAATTGGTAACAAGCCATTGCGCTCATTATTCAAGTGAGTGCAATAATCGTAAAACTTATTTAGGATAATAGAATAATTGTAAAACTATTTTAGGATAACTTAAGTTTGAATTTTCTTTTCTCTTTGAAAACCAGTTTGTTGGTAGAATTTGCTATTTATTTTCAAGAACTCTGTTTAAGTGAACATGCAGCTCAATGATGCTTTTCTTATTTTTGTTTGGCTTTTCTGGGGGTCAGGGAAGCATTAAATGTAGTAATACAAATTCTCAAACATGCAAAAATGTCTGGCTTGTTTTTTGTGTGTTTCAGCCATCATCAGAGGTTGAATTATTCCTATCATTTGTTAGCCATTTTATAAAGGTAGAGAATTAAAACACACTATGTCTGATGAAGTTTTTAGCACAACTTTGGCATATACAAAGAGTCCAAAAGTCACCAAAAGAACTACTTTCCAGGTAAAGTAATTTTATTTTGAATGATTTTACAAGGTAATTCCTGTATTGGGAATATTGGACTTGAAAGTAATCAAAGAGCAGCCCTGTATAGAGCAGGAGTAAATCTTATGCTTCTTTTGAGGTTTTGCAGATGATTGTGTTTGGGCTGTAGTATTACCAGCCCTTCTGTGTGGCTTTAAGACTACCAAACTAAATACTAGGTTCTTACTATACTAAAAGTTAAATTAGCTTTTGAAAGTTAAATAGCAACTTCTAATTGCCATTTTCATATAAAGATTGTTTTTTGTTTTTTTTTTCTGGTTTAACAGCTTTCTGTGTCCAGTTGCTACAATTTTGAACTGAGCTTCTCAATTTATGGTATTGATTACATCTGTTAATAGCAATATGCTGAAACAAAAGATCATAAAGAATACCAGTTTCTTCCAAAATATCAGTTTATAATGAACCTGGTCCAGATAGAGTCCCTCAGTTAATTTTCTTGGTGTTGTCTGTCTTGTTTAATTTAACTGTAACTTCCATGAAAAAAGGGGTCATCTGTGATGTTCTGTGTTGCCTCTTAGAGTTTGGGTGCATGGCATAAAGAAGGCTTTCAGTAAATATTTGTTAGATGAATGAAATCTGAGCTTTAAAGCAGTTATTAATCAAGCAATATTTGTTTAAATAATTCTACATACAAGAGTGCACATTCGGGTGGAGATTGATTTTAATTATCTCGTTTCAGGATGAGCTAATAAAAGCAATTACAGCTCGCTCAGCCAGACAGAGAAGTTCTGAATACTCAGATGACTTTGACAGTGATGAGACTGGTATGTGAGAACTTGGGGAAAGAAATCTCTTCTTTTTGCTTCCTTACTGATGTATAGCCCAAACCTGGGGGGGAAAAAAAAATCACCATTCTAAATACCAGTGAATTCACTGGTTTTAGGTCTCCAACTTTTTAATGAATAAAAAGTCACTCTTAATTTTCAAGAAGTTGTATGATTGTCCTTGTTTTTTTCTGAATGTGTATACAAAAATAAAAATTAACTGATAGCAGATTTGCTTGTCAGTGGTAAATTACATTGGAGATGATGAGTTCATCTTTAAGGTTAACCCTATGAGACCTACAGTGAAGTAATAATTAGGGACCATAGAACTGAACTTTGTGTACATCAGAATCACTTTTATAATGCTTTTTATAAATCAAAGTTTTTTGGCTGTGAAAGAAAATCAGTTTTAAAAACGCAGTATATCATTTCTATATGATTAATTTGGTTTCTTTGGTTATGTAAGATATTAACAATTCACATTTCAAGAAAAACATACAAAATTCTGAACTTGAAATTCAGTGTTTTATTCTTTGATATTCAGTGAATAACTCTCAATGTTCTCTGTAAAAGTTACCAGAACAATAGTTAAATCATTACTGTATAGTTAAGTTATCATTCTTTATTATTCTTCTCATAATAAAATCTAATACTCTAGTATGGATGGAATAGCAGTTCCAAAATTTTAATAGAAAAACATTATTAGTTAATTCTTCCATTTACAAATATTCTTGATTTTATATGATGAAGTTTTTGAAAAACATTAATAAATAAGTTTTGCAGTCCAAAATCTAAATGTCTATGACTGATTGTTAGTTTGAAGAACCTTTGAATGACTCCTCTCAGAGCAAACACAGTGCTTGACTTGATACACTATTCTTACTCAGTAAGTATGTTTTAAATAAATGAAATTGAAATTTTTATTTTATAGACTGCCTAAGTTAGCAGTTTTCTTAGGGTTCCAAATCTATTCACAGTTGTAAATTAATTTCTAGTCTTTAAGGTATTGTTTTTGAATGTTGTAACCTTCAAACCTTTAAAATGTACTATTGAAAATATTTTTCTCTTCTATTTTTCAGTTTCCTTAGGTGATTTTTCTGACACCTCAGTAGATGAAAATTCAATTAAGAAAAAAACAAATAATTTTCACATATCAGATGATGAAGAAAACAGTTCTCCAAAACTGTCTTTTTTGAAAACCAAGAAATCAAGCCATGATGTGAGGAAACATGAGCCAGTAGTCTCTATCAAAAACGATGACACTGCACTTGATGATGGTGAAGGCATAGTTGTAAATTCCTTATCTGAATCTCAAAATGAACAGCAGGAAGTTGGAAAAGAGAAAATTAAAATGGAAACTAAACCTAGAATTCTTCCAATCAAAAGTACACCTTCAGGTAATTTGTTGGTTTGGTTTGGTCTAGTCACTAACGTGTGTTGGACTCTGCAGTCCCATGGATTATAGCCGGCCAGGCTCCTCTGTCCATGGAATTCTCAGGGCAAGAACCTACTGGAGTAGGTTGCCAGTCCCTTCTCCAAGGGATCTTCCTAACCCAGGGATTGAAGCCAGGTCTCCTGCATTATAGGCAGATTCTTTATTATGTGAACCACCAAGGAAGCCCATAAATTGGAGACCTGGCTGTGTAGAGGTTGGGTGCATGTGTGTGTACTAAGTTGCTTCAATTGTGTCTGACTTTTGTGACTCTATGGACCATAGCCCACCAGGCTTCTCTGTCCATGGGATTCTCCAGGCAAGAATACTGGGTGAGTTGCCATGCCGTCCTCCAGGAGATCTTCCCAACCCAGGGATCAAACCCACGTCTCTTATGTCTCCTGTATTGGCAGGCAGGTTCTTTATCACTAGTGCGACCCAGGAAACCCAGAACCATAGAGGAAAGCTGTAATTCTCAGGAAAGTCTGGAGGCTTAAATAATAAGAGCAACAACACCTCTCCCTCCCCTCCTCCAAACCCCATTTCAAATATATAAATGTCAAACAAATATTCTGGCAAATGGCTGCATGGAAATGATTGTTTTAAGGACTGCCCCAGTGCTGCTCTAACCCTAATGTCTGGAGCATGAGATTGATTAGAAAAGATTCCATTGTAGTTCCACAATGGAATTTTAACTTGTAGTTACAAGTTAAAACAAAATTGAAGGTAATAGACCTAAGTGAGGCTGGATGTGGATGACTGAAAGTTCTTTGGCCTCCTATCAGGCACCAGCAGACATGCAAGACTGAACGCAGGAGGTGGAAGAACTTTGAGCATCCACATCCAGCCTCACTTAGACCTGTGAGCTCCAATTTTGCTTTTAGCAGTGTAACTACAGTGGAATCCTTTCTAATCCAGCTCACACTCCAGACGTTGGGTTAGAGCACAGCATTGGGGCTAGTCCTTAAAGCATCATTTCCATGCAGCCATTTGCTAGACTATCTGTGTGACATTTATATATTTGAAATTGGGGTGGGGGAGAGAGGTGGTGTTACTCTTATCGTTTAAGCCTCCGGACTTTCCTTAAGAAAGGAGAATCTCCATTTGGTGTCTCTGTTCCCCAGGAAAATTCACTAAAACTGTTTTCTGTGGGGGAGTTCCTGGTGTGACCATTACAGTAGTTTCTCCACAATTCTACTGAGCTCTGGACATAGCAGAGCAGAGATGGAGTGAAGCAGGTACCAACTTCCATGAGATCCCCTGGGCTGCCATGCAGGAACAAGGGCATAGAAGGTGAAGGATTTGGGGTCTTCCAGTCTTTTTCTGGTTTATGGAAAACAATAGTAGTTGATACTAACCTTCACAAAAACCTCTTTCCTTTATATCATCATTAAATACAATACTGGTAAGTATTTCATTCTTTATATATTAGATAGCACTGATAACCTCAGGCAAAGCTTTATTTCAGATATGTATTAGGGATCCACTCCATTTTCCACCCCTGACAAGTCTATCCTCTTTCAAATGAGAAGATATGAATCAGCAATGATACTAAGGAGAAAGCCACTGTATGTTAATTATGTATGACCTTAGCAGTAGGGTAAGCCTGGCTGGATGGCATCACCAACTCGATGGACATGGGTTTGAGTAAACTCCAGGAGTTGGTGATGGACAGGGAGGCCTGGCGTGCTGTGGTTCATGGGGTCGCAGAGTGGGACACGACTGAGCGACTGGACTGAACTGACCTGCTGTCCTCACGGGGATTCCCTGGTGGCTCAGATGGTAAAGCGCCTGCCCACAATGCGGGAGACCCGGGTTTGATCCCTGGGTCGGGAAGATCCCCTGGAGAAGGAAATGGTAACCCACTCGAGTACTCTTGCCTAGAAAATTCCATAGATGGAGAAGCCTGGTGGGCTACAGCCTATGGAGTCACAAAGAGTTGGACACGGCTGAGCGACTTCACTTCACTTTAGTGTCCTCATGAGGAGGAGAGGAAACTTTCTCTCCCTTCCTACAGAATTGTTTGAAGAATGTACCCAGGTGGCACAGTGGTAAAGAATCCAGCTGCCAATGCAGGAGACGCAGGAGAGGTGGGTTTGATCCCTGGGTTGGAGAGATCCCCCGGGAGGAGGAAATGGCAACCCACTCCAGTATTCTTGCCTGGAAAGTTCCATGGACAGAGGAGCCTGGCAGGTGGACTATAGTCCCATGGGGTTGCAAAGAGTCAGACATGACAGCACACACATCACACTGAAGTATGTCTCAAGCTATAAACTTCTACAAAAGTTTAAGCACAAGGTCTAATGAAATAGAATTTACTTGCTAAAATGTACCTTACCAGTGTACTGAGTAAAATAAAAAATGCAGAGAAGAGAAACACAATCAAATAGTGAATAATCCAATAAATCACCATTTCCCACAGTAGTTTCCACAGTTTGTTCATTGTATTAAGGGGAAAACACAGTTATAGAAATTTTAAACTAATTTCTTTATGACAGAACTTCTTGGAACCATTAGTAAAGACATATGCACAGTGAATCTTCATGAAAGATAGAGGATGTAGTATTCCTTAGTCCTAGTTGAGTTTGAAAACTATTTTTATAGATTATGTTTATCCTATTTGTCCTGATTCTGAAAAGCTTTTCATTAGGTGATAAGAAACTGTGAGCATACTACAGAAGCTAAAAATTAGTCTGATATAGATATAAGTATATAATTAGAATTTTTTGGTAATCAGCAATAATTCATCTAATACCTTTTTTAAAACCTGAGACAAATTAAAATGAATAGAGAAATGCTGTACTTTGACCACAAGATGGCCCCAGGATTATGAATGTGCAATACTGAATTTTTGAACAGTCATAAACCATTTGCAAATCAGTATATGTAGGATAAAAATAATTACTGAAATTAGTAATCATTCATATTTGATAATGAAATGACATTTTGATAATGTATAGACTTTTTTTTTCTTTCTGAAAACTTGATGCTTCTGGAAGTGGAATTTTGGTATAAAATATTTGAAATCATTATTCCAAGGTTACTCAAGTTGAAGGAAAAAGTTGAGTCTGCTGGTTAATGCCTGGCATGTAGAATTTTTTAAGTATTTGAATATATAAATGAATAATTTATTCATTAAAGAAGTAATGTGGTTAACAAGTTTAGCTCTATCCTCTAAATTTTTAGACTTTTTCCTTTGTCACATTTACAACAATATTTTTAACATCATGAGATATTGCTGAATATCATTTAATGCTTTATAAAAATATTAGAACCTGAAAGTTTCCTTTGTTCTCACTTGTCTGCTGTTCAGTTCAGCTCAGTCACTCAGTCGTGTCCAACTCTTTATAACCCCATGGACTGCAGCACGCCAGGCTTCCCTGTCGATCACCAACTCCCGACAAGACCCAGTTTCCCCCTCAGTCAGTCTCTCCTATCAGGAAGCTTCCATAAGCCTCTTATCCTTGTCCATCAGAGGGCAAACAGAATGAACACCACAACTGATCACCAGGACCACAGCCTTGTCTAGCTCAATGAAACTATGAGCCATGCCCTATAGGGCCAACCAAGACGGACAGGTCATGGCGGAGAGTTCTGGCAAAACATGGTCCACTGGAGAAGGGAATGGCAAACCACTTCAGTATTCTTGCCTTGAGAACCCCATGAACAGTATGAAAAGGCAAAAAGATGGGACACTGAAAGATGAACTCCCCAGGTCAGTAGGTGCCCAATATGCTACTGGAGATCAGTGGAGAAATAACTCCAGAACAAATGAAGAGGCGGAGTCAAAGCAAAAACTACACCCAGTTGTGGATGTGACAGGTGATGGAAGTAACGTCTGATATTGTAAAGAGCAATATTACATAGGAACCTGGAACGTTAGGTCCATGAATCAAGGCAAATTGGAAGTGGTCAAACAGGAGATGGCAAGAGTGAACATTGACATTTTAGGAATCAGTGAACTAAAATGAACTGGAATGAGCAAATTTAATTTAAATGACCATTATATCTACTACTATGGGCAAGAATCTGTTAGAAGAAATGGAGTAGACATCATAGTCAACAAAAGAGTCCAAAATGCAGTACTTGGATGCAATCTCAAAAATGACAGAATGATCTCTGTTCATTTCCAAGGCAACCATTCAATATGTCAGTAATCCAGGCCTATGCCCCGACCGGTAATGCTGAAGGAGCTGAAGTTAAATGGTTCTGTGAAGACCTACAAGACCTTTTAGAACTAACACCCAAAAAAGATGTCCTCTTCATTATAGGGGACTGAAATGCAAAAGTACGAAGTCAAGAGCTAACTGGATGAACAGGCATATCTGGCCTTGGAGTACAAAATGAAGCAGGGCAAAGACTAATAGAGTTTTGCCAAGAGAATGCTCTGGTCATAGCAAACACCCTTTTCCAACAGCACAAGAGAAGACTCTACACATGGACATTACCAGATGGTCAATAGCAAAACCATATTGATTATATTCTTTGCAGTCAAAGATGGAGAAGGCCTATACAGTCAGCAAAACAAGACCGTGAGCTGACTGTGGCTCAGATCATGAACTCCTTATTGCCAAATTCAGACTTATATTGTATGCTGTAAAAAGTACAATAATCAAACGCTTTCATTTTATCAGGTAATGGTCACATAGATGGTGATTGTAGAAAGTAATTTTTACAGGGTATGCTGTTTTTAACTTTAAAGCAGGAGCACCTTGACTCCATTAGCATTAGAGCCAGGGTGCTCCTGCTTTAATTCCACAAACTAGAGTTTATAACCATGGGTACATGAGCTCTTTGTTCCTCATTTTATTTATCTGTGAAAGGGGACAATAGTTGAACCACCACAAGGGGTTTGAGGCAATTAAATGAGTTTATGTATCTGAAGGGTTTAGAGCAATCTGGCATAAATTAAGCAAGCTATAAATGCTTTTACTATTCACTTTATTATTCAGCATTTGTTCATAGGAAGATCATTTTATTTATCCACACATATTTGTTGTTTGTATGATATGTCTCACTGTTACAAGCACTGTGATGGTAACTACAACTGCAGACTTAGAGATGCAGTACCAATCCTCCAATATTGTCTTAGTCATTTGGGCTGCTGTAATCAAATACTTCCCAAATACTACTGGGGCTTCCCAGGTGGTGCTAATGGTAAAGAACCCACCTGCCAATGCAGGAGACGCAGGTTCAATCCCTGGGTTGGGAGAATCTTCTGGAGGAGGAAATGGCAACCCATTCTAGTATTCTTGCCAGGAAAATCCCAAGGACAGTGAAGCCTGGAGGGCCACAGTCCATGGGTTCTCAAAGAGTCAGACCTGACTGAAGTAGCTTAGCAGCACAGCACAACCAGAAACTTCAAACTGGGTGAATTGTAACTGATAAAAATCTGTTTCTCACAGTTCTGGAATATGAAAGTCTGAGATCACAGGGCTCATATGGTTGGATAGGGTCCTTTTCCATGTTGCAGGCTTCCCATTGTATCTTTACATGGTGGAAAGGGCAACGAACTTTCTAGAACATTGTTTTTAGGGCACTCATTCCATTCATGAAGGTCTGCCTTTATGACATAATCACCTCCCAAAGGTCCTACTTCCTAATATATCAGTTTTGGGGTTAAGATTTCAATGTAAGAATGGTGGTTATGAGTGGCTGGAGGGAGAGGAACATGGGAATTGCTGGTCAGAAGGTGTAAAGTTTCAGTTAGCAAGATGAACAAGTTCTAGGGTTCTGCTGTATGGCTTTGTGCCTTTAGGTAATAATACTGTATTCTGCACTTAAAATTTTGTTCAGAGAATGGATCTCCTATTAAGTGTTATTACAGTAAAAAAGACTCAAAACCTTTTATCAAGCTTTATATAATATTCTGCTTAAACTGAGATTCCAAAGACAAGCAAGCATTTGTCAGGAGAAGCCAGAAGTGGACATCCTGGGCTAAGGAAGAACTAGGGTAAAGGTTTGGTGGCAAGAGAGATGTGGCCCAACTGCAGAAGGACAGTGAGCCCAGCATATCAGGACAGATTGCCAAGGGAGTGTGCTGGTGGCAGCACGGGTAGCCACGGACAAGACTATGAAAGCTTTTATATTGTTCAGAGGCAATGAGCTTGCAGGACTGGGTGATGGGGAGTCACTGAAGAACTTTGTGGAGAGGGGTGGTGTGATCTGATTTGTATTTTATAAACGTTGCTGAGGCACTATCTAGGCAAGACTGGATAAGGAACTGACAGTGGGGATGTAGAAAGTGCGATAAATGAGAGATATTTAGAGGTAGAGTCAATACAGTATCATGATGCTTTGGATTTTGAGGGAGGAATCTAGGATAACTTAGATTTTAAATTGGACATTTGACCAGAATTTAGGACATACCTAAAATTGGCAGTGAAGCATTTATAGTGGTTCCAATTAGGTCTGACTGTAGAATCTTCTAGCAGGATTTATAACCCCAATTACAAATAAAAAAAGAGAAAGGTATTCAATTTTGCAGCTTTGTCAGAAGAATACATTGGTAGGACAGTGGAGAAATGGATATATATATATATATAAGGTGAAATTTAGGGAAAAGCTCATGTAAAAAACTTGTATATCATGTTTTGAGGGCTGGAAGTATATCAGCATTAGAATGCTGTTTGTTGTTGTTTTAAACTTAGAAGTAGTGGAAATAGTAACTGAGGAATTTTAATAACTGCTGGAGAGGTTTTATGGACTCAGGACAGCAGCTCAGAATTTGTCGAGTTCTCCATTCCTCTTTCCAGGGACGTTGGCTCTTCTACCCCTGTACTGACATCATCTTCATACTTGTTACAGCACTTACCTTTGTCTTAGAATTTTATTTGTTTGCAGTCATCTTCCTCCCCAACCTCTAAAATCCTAGGACAGGGCCATTGCCAGTGTCTTGGTTCTGAGATCTGTTAATGTGAATGATGTGAACAGGGCCTGGCAGCAGACACTCAATAAAGGTTTGATGTATGAACTGCCTCATTTTATAAAGGCTGAAATCAAGACATGGTTTTGTTTGTTAAAAAAAAATAATAATACTATGAGAGTTGATAAAGGAAAATAGTTCACTACTCACGAGTGAAGTATACTAGTTACTTTCAGAATGGTAGCCATTAAAAAAATTTTTTTTGACCTATTTTTACCTTCTGGAGTTCTTTGTAGAGAAGGGTGTGGGCTTCTTGTCCAGGACAGAGAGGCAAGGTGCTTGGAAACAGAAGGAAGTTTGGTGGCACCTGGGGTGTAGGAGAAGCCATGATCATCTTAAAAAAATATACTTTGTGACTGTATTAAATGTATTAAAGCATTGTATTTTTCTGCAGAAAATAGCAGCAGCCTTGAAGCAGACAACCATTTTAAGCCTTCACCTCGACCAAGGAGCATGTTGAAAAAGCACAGCCATGGGGAGAAGAAAGATAGCTTAGGAGATGATAAAGAAACTGTCCCACACAAAGAATTAGAGGCACATTCCACACCTTCGTTCCTCCCAAGGCTGAATGGCAGACAACCAGAAGCTGAGAAGAATGCATTCTCTGAAAACCTTGATCCTGAGGTTAGCACTGTTGCTGAATTATGTTTTGAGTTCAGATTTTTGCATCTGATTCTAAGAGAAAGAGAGACTATTTGTGTACATGCATGTGTGTGTTTGTGTGTGTTTTGCATGTTTTCTTCAACAAATGACAAGGAACTTAAATTCTTTAAATATATTCTGTTGGGTCTAAAACTGCGTTGTAAGATAGAGCAAAAATGCAGAATTATTTCATGTACTGCTAAGAAAGAAGAAAACTGCTAATTAAGCTATAACACACCAGTCATTATAAGATGCATCCAATATCAGAGAAAGTAAAATGTGAAAAAACAGTGCAGTCCTTTTGAATCTATGCAACACTTTAATTGCAAGTATCTATTTACACATATTTTAATTGTATAGTTTATGGCGAGTCATTTTATTCATTTGGTTTTAATCACTCAACAAATGCATATTGAGTGTTCACAGCAGTTCCCTGTCTTTTTTGGGATACCACAGTGGGAGTAGATATGATGCTTCAGGAGTTCATCAGGAGTTTACTGTGTGTTGTCATTAGGGAAGAACACTTGGCTTCTGTGTTAAATTTTACTGTGGCTAGGAAACTTCCACCTCACATTCAGAAGCGATAAGTGTGGGAAGAACATTCCTGCTCCACAGTCTGCCTAAGCAGATCAGAGAAAACTAAACAGTACCTGGCTAAGCTTCTTTCTTCTGACTCCTCTGTGGTTCAGATGTGAGTAAGAGAGGTGGTACAAAGGAAGAAGAGGAAGTCCTTTGCATCGCAGCTAAATGAATGGATCTCTCCAGTTCAGACCAGAAGTGTGATTACAGTAGGTTCTTGTTCCGCTCTTGTCCTGTAGGTTAGCTTTACCAGTAAAGCAGCAATTAGATCCAAACCTCTCTAACTTCAGTGTGCTATGTCCTAATTTGTTATAAAAATCAGGAGAAGAGATGGTCTTATCAAAGCCAAACAACTATTGTATACTGAGTAAGATCATCTGACCAAGTGGATATTGTGGTAGTTCACTGTAGCTGTTACAACAAATTGCCACAAACTAGACTTAAAACAACACAGGTTTTTCCAGTTCTGGAAGTCAGAAGTCCAAAATCAAAGTGTGGACAGGGTCATATACTCTCTGAAGACTCTGGGGAGAAATCCTCCCTTGCTTCTTCCAGCCTTGGGTGGTTGCCAGAACCCTTTGGTGGTCCTCGGCTGTCCGCTTCATCATTCTGATCCCTTTCTCCATCATCACATGGTCTTTTTCCCTTGGTCTCTGTGTCTTCCCTCACTTTCCTCTAAAACAAGACACCAGCCATTTGATTTAGGGTCCACCCTAGGCTAGTAGATCCTCATCTTAGTTAATCCCATCTGAGATTCAGGATAGACATGAATTTTGAGGGACATTATTCAGACTGGTAGTGATGCCTAACTAAATCCTCTTTGTAATGCATGTTATGTCCCTTGATTAAAGAAAAAAGTATTCCTGAAGTTTTTAAAGTAACATTATATTATGACAGAAAGTTTAATTGAAAAATATCTACTCATAATCCCACCAGTTAATAACAACAATGTTCATTATTCTAATTCCCTTTGGGACTATTTTTCCTATACTTATTTTATCATATTTGTCATCTTAACATTCATAATGTTTTGTATTATGCTTTTTTTTTCTTTTAATCTCTTAGCTAGCACTGAGCACATGAAGTGTTTCTGGGTTGCTAGGTGATCTTGAGACTGCATTCACCTTAACAATGATAAACATAACCCATAATGTAGATCTATTGCTTTATTGTTGGGTATATTAGATACTTTTGTTTTTAATAATTTAAAATTTCCTTATTCCTCATTATAAAATTTTCCTGAGCATGCTGTGAATCTTCTTTAAGCCTACCTTTTCAGGGATTTCCATTAATTTTTTGTCCTACCTTTCTCTCTCCTGTTTCCATAATCTTTGCCTCTGGAAGGGTCTGTTATCATCCACATTCAGCTATGCTTATGTCTCTTAAACTGTGTGTGAATTCTTACATGACACTGCACCTCTCTACTGCCTTACTTTCCGTCAAGTGTCACAGCTAGATGTGGAAAGGATGACACTTTCTTTTTTGCTCTAGCCTCACTTCCTACCTTTGCTTCGTGTGTGTGTTTGTATGATGATACATATCTATAGTTTTCTGTTAAATTAACTCAGTATTGCTGGGATAAAATCTGGTCAGTCATAGTAGGTTATTTTAGTGTGAGATTTCATTTCTTAATATTTTGTTAAGACTTCTACATCTGTGTTTATGGAGGCAGACTATAATTTTTTCCTTATAATGTTATTGTCAGGCATGGGCATCATATGAATTGGGGAGTGTCTCTTTCTCTTTGTTTTCTAAAATTTGATATGAGACCAAAAATCTGGTATTATTTTTTCTGTAATTGGGAGAATTCACCAGAAAAATTATCTGGGGCTAGAATTTTCTTTGTGGACAAGTCTTTGATACTAAATTTGACTTTTTTCTTGTTTTGGATAGATACTTTGGTATTCAGATTTGCTACTTCATCAGTTTAGTAATTTATGTCTATTTAGAAATTTGACCACTTTATCTGAGATGCTGAATTTATAAAGTTGTTTGTGATATTCCCTTATGCTTTTAATGGCAATAAAATTATCATGACATTGCATCTTTCATCTCTAATGTATAGTTTGTGTTTTCTGTCTTTCTTGTTAAATTGGTCAGTTTTGTTAAAATTTTTCTAAGAACCAATGTTGACTGTTAGTTTTCTCTATTGTTTGTTTCCAGTTTCACTGATTTTTATTCTTTATTCTTTATTTCTTTTATTTTCTTTGGATTTTCTTTGGTTTTAATTTACTTATCTTTAAGTTAGAAAATGTGTCCCTTCATTTTAAGCTTTTCATCTTTTCTATCAAAACTTTTAAAAACTATGAATTTTCCTCTAATGCGCTGATTAGCAGCACCATTTTTGATGCCATTTATTTTCATTATCATTCCTTTAAATATGTTTTCTAATTTTTCTTGTGATCTCTTTTTTGACCAAATGGTTATTTTATGATGAATGATTTTAAACTTTTAGTCTTAGACTTTTAAAGAATTAAAAGAGTAGAATAAACTAGAATAAACATTTGTAGTTTTCTTAGATTTATATTCAATTCTAAGGTATATACCATTCTAAGGATCTTCATTTCTTCCTTTAGATTCATACTCCTAGTGTTATTCCCCTTCAATCTTAAGAACCTATTTTTATTTTTCTTATATTATAGACAGTGACAGTTTTGCTCAATCTTTACTTATCTAAAAAAATTCAGTTTATCTTCATTTTTGAAGGATGACAGCTGAATATGTACTTGGCTGACAGTTCTCCTACCTCCAGCTCTTTATAGGTTTCCATTGTTCCTGACCTCTATGGTTTCTGTTAGAAAATCAGCAGAAATTTATCTTCTTGCACTCATTATATAACATTTTGGGTTTTTTCTTTTTTTTCTGACAGCTTTCTGAATTTTTTTTTTTTTAAGACTTTGTCTTTCTTCTTTGAATTACAATAATTTGACTACAAGGTACCTAGGTGTAGCTTTTCTTTATATTTATCCTGCTTGGATTTCGTTGAAGTGTCAGGATCTGTAAACTGGTATTTTCCATGAAAATGGGAAGTTAGTTTTTGTTTTTTTTTTTTCTGTTTCATTTTCTTTTCTCTCGTTTGTGGTCTAGTGTATTGAAATTTTTGATATGTCTCAGCAATCTCTCATGTTCATGTTCATGTTTCTTCAGTCTTTCCACCCTTTCTCTTCTTCAAATTCTGTCTTCAAAGACTTTGAGTTCACTGCCTTTTGCTGCCGTATCTGATTGGCTGTTAAGTCTATCAGTAATTTTTTTTTTTTTAATTTCAACTCTTTTTTTTTTATTATTCAACTCTGGAATTTCCAATTTTTTTGTGTGTGTATTTTCTGTATCTAATAACAAGATACCCATCTGTTCCACCACTATGTATATATTTTTCCTCCTAAATGCTTGAAGATATTTATGATACCTACTTTAAAGTTCTTGTTTGCAAATTGCAATATCTGGGTCATCTCTGGGTTGGTTACTCTAGACTGTTTTTGTTGTTTGTTTTCATAGTATAAGTCACTGTTTTCTGTTACTTAATTTTTCTATTAAATACTGAATATTATGGATGATATGTTGTAGAAATTTGGGGTTCTATTATGTTTCTCTGAACACGTGTTCTATCATTACTGATTTTATGGCCAGACTTAAATTTCTAACTCTGTCTCCCTTGCCATGGACATTGACTAAAACTTCTGCTTAGTTTTTTTACTTTCTAGCTACTACAGTTTTACAGGGCCCTCTGAGGTCTTTTCCATGCCATGCATAGATGAGCCAAGGGTTTGAGGTGGATTTTAAATGCCCATTTGGGGTTCTTGCCCTCTGCCCAAATTTATTGGCTGATCTTCTATTCCTAGACTCTATTCTCTGACTCCTCAAGCAAGTCTGGCAGGGTCGCAGCCTACTGCTACTTGAGCTACACAGTTGGGGAAGTTTCCTCAGGAGAAAAGCTACTGACTTGCAAATCTCCTTGGGTAAAGCTTCGTCTCTTAGGGTAAACTCCAGTGTTTAGCCCTCCTGCCATCTTCCCAGGTGGTTTCTCTTTATTGCTTTTGACATTAAATATATGGGAAAAAAATAAAAATTTTTATACAATAAAAATCAAACTTCTTATAGTATCATCACCCTTAGACTAGAGTATTATGCTATAAAGAGATGTTTAATATAGGAACACAAATATAATTACTTCATTTCATATATAATGATTTTATTTCAGATATAGTAATTTTGAGGAAAACTAAAGCGCATGAAATCTATGTACTTTCTAATCTAAAATATTTGGAAGTAGCTACTTGGTTTTTGGGCTTCCCAGGTGGCACTAGTAGTAAAGAACCCTCCTGCCAATGCAGGAGATAAAAGAGATGCAAGTTCTATCCCTGGGTTGGGAAGATTCCCTGGAGGAGGAAATGGCAACCCACTCCAATATTCTTGCCTGGAGAATCCCATGGACAGAGGAGCCTGGTGAGCTATAGTCATAGAGTCACAAAGATTCAGACATGGCTGAAACAACAACATACACACACATGCACTTGGTTTTATGAATTGCTTTTGTTTGAACAACTATTAGTATTCGTTTCAAACTAAGGGTTTTTGACCTACGATCTTTATGCTTTCTTAGAAAGTATGTACTTAGAGAAAGATATGTCAAATACTTAAGTATTTCTGAGATTTGATTTTAGAGCAGCAGCAGTTATGAAAATTGCTAAAGATGGATTTATAAGTTTCAGTTAAAGAACTGAAAGAGCTCTTAACTTGAAAGTAAAGTATATTATAACCTGCTTTGACTTAACCCTTATGCTGTTTCAGTAGAAAACTAATTATGCATATTTCAGAGTTATGAAGTAGTCTTAATACTGCTATTGCCCTCCACAAATCTTGAAACTAAACTTTCATAGTTTCTTTAAATAGGATCCATGGTTAACAAGTATACCATCATCATCTGTTAAAGAAAATCTTAAAGATTCCTTTTCACTAGGATCTGAGGAAAAAGCCTCCATTACAGGTGATTATATCAAAGTATCCTACCTTATTTTATTTGTGAACTTCTGTATTGCTTAGAATGCCATAGAAGTATGCCAAAGGAGTAACACTTCACATAGTTACAGGAACAATATATGTTTATGTTTGCCTGAGTTTTAATCTCAATGATGCAATTTACTAAATTTGTGATTATAGATGCAGAACTTAATCTCTCAGTTTAAGAGAAATTGCCTCAATCCCCAAAGTTATAATAATCAACCTCATTAGCCTATTGTGAAAATTAAGTGATGCTCTGCATTTTAGCCAGGAAGTCAATTCTTGACACAAGTAGCTCAGGGTGAGCTATTATTATGTATTTGTTGCTCCAATACTCAGCATAATGGTTAGGTGAACTTTTAAATTGAGACTAAGGTGGACTTAAATCCAGGTACAAGGTACATGAGAAGGTAACTAACCTTGCTGGCCCTATATATTGATCTTTAAAATGCGCATAAGAGTAGAGTGGTTGTATGAATTAAATTAATTAATACATGTAAAGCACATATAACAGGACTGTAGTTAACACACAGTAAGTGTGAGGTATGAATAAGTTAACATTCTTTCTTCCTTAGTCCTATGACATATAAAGGCATAACTGTTTCTAAGGTTGGTATGTATAATTCGCATTTATTAAGTGCTTACTGTGTAGTATAATTTTTATCATTTTACAGATGAGAAAAACTGAAGTGCAAAGATATTGGGAAACATACCCAAGGTCAGTGATGGAGCCATAATTTGAATCTTTGGCTCCAAAGTCCTTGTTATTTTCACTGAGTACATTGATTAGCAGAATCCATTATTGATACTTTGAATCATGAGTACTGTCCAAATATGAACATATAATTGTAATTATAAAGTCATATTATATCTAGCTTACCTCAAAATGAGCTCCCCCAAAATGGCTGTAACAAAAGCCTCAGCATTCAGACTTTGACAGTAAAGATACAGGTTTGGCCAGGTACTAGTAGAACTGAAAGTTGGTGAGCAGCACAGAAAGCACTGATTTTCTGTTGTACATTCTAAAGTGTGATAGAATCAAAATAGTAGAAGCAATTCTGTAAAAGCAAAACTGAATCCTCCATGCCAGAGCCTGTCCCTTGAGCACTGAGATGGTGAGTATTAGGCCTTCCATTCCTGCCCTTTTGTTATCAGAGGCAACACTGCATCTTAGTGGGAATAAAACTCTGGCAGATGACCTTATTCTCTGTGTGGTAGACTCTTCTAGAATTGCATTGATTCTTGGTTTTCTCTGTGTCTGTACAATTTCACAACTGCATTGCTAGTAACTGTGGTAGTTTAGAGATCTATGCCTTTGGTTCCAGCTAAGAAACACAGGCTTTTAAATAGAATAGATATTGCTATCTCACTTACTTGATTTATACAAACATTTGTGACATTTCTATGTTTCAGGATGGTTATTCCATTCTATTTACTTATATGATATTTTCCTGAGGTGTACGAAATGCTTTAGTAGATTTTTCTGTTATAGATTACTTTGGAAAAATGTTTATTCAAGTTGAGTATGGCTTCTCCATTTCTATTTTGCAAGAAAGATCAGAGACTGTTTTCATTTAGCAGAAAGCAAATGAATCAGTTATCCACCTCATTAATTCAGAAGGGAGATTTAATTCTGTTACTTTGTCACAAAGTATGTCAGAATGAAGAATGCACTGAAAGCCATAATTCCTTGAAATCAACCAAAAATGAAAAGACCTCATTTTTGATAGACTTTGTCACTACTGCACTTGAGAAACCCAAGGAAAGTCAAGTGACTGTTGGTGACGTTGAAGAAGAAAAGGAGAAAGCTGAACTGATTATGCATGATGGCTTAACAGCTGAAGAGCCACCACTACTACAACTTCAGAGTATCTTATGTACTGAGTCTTCAAAGGTATTTATATAAAATTGTACCTTCTATACTGCACCTTAAAACTCAAAATAAAACTCTTTAAGTATTTTATCTTTCATGGTAGGTACTTCTGAATTATCTGTGTGAGACTCGTCTTTTAATAGTGGTATTATACGGTCATGTGGTCCGTATTCAGTAGAATTTTCACTTCAGAGAAGTGTTGAAGTGAGTACAGTAAAACCCAGCATTTCATTAAAATTTTCAGAGGTGTATGATCATAATATTCTTTTAAATGTTTCAGAAATACCTACCCAGAAGTGGGTTGATTTCTATAGGTCTTCATGTTATAAAAATATAGCTGGCTGGAATAATTTCTGAGGGTTTGGGATTAGTGAAACGTATTCCTTTGGATATCTTTTTAAATACTTTAAAAAATTTAAAAATAAAAATCATTTAAGAAATATTTATCAGCATCCATGCCTATTTAAATGGAAGGACAGGGTCATTACCAGGAATATTATTATCATTACCTTGAGAACCAGATTTGTGATATGTGGGATTACTTGTCCCTATGCAATATTGCAGGCGTCCTTGGTGACTGAGAGGTAAAGTATCTGCCTGCCAATGCAGGGGACACGGGTTTGTCCCTGGGTTGGGAAGATCCCCTGGAGAAGGAAATGGCAACCCACTTCAGTATTCTTGCCTGCAAAATCCCATGAACAGAGGAGCCTACAGTCCATGGGGTCGCAGAGAGTTGAACAACAAACAGCAATATACTATATTACTCTAGAGTACTATACTGTTAAAATTTGTGGTGGAGCATTTTTAGTCTCTATTTCTCCTGAGTTTTCTTTATCCAGTTTCTCCTGCAGTTAACTGGTGGCTATGTATATTTACTATTGGGGAAAATAACAGTTATCTGAAAACTTGTTGTTGAATAGGACTTTTATAATACAGGGTATTAGATTTTCACTACATTTTAAGGAGAAGGTCCATTAAGACATATTCCAGGTACATTTCCTTAACCGTTTTCCTTAGGAAAAACTAATGCCAAGTTAGGGGTGTGTGTACAACTGTGCTCTCATGTTAGTGCTGGCACCCGTCTGCCTGTGTAAAGTAGAAAAGTCATTCCTTAAAAGGAAGAAGGATATTCTGGGATTTAAAGACAAGGTTTTGGAAATGTTTAACAGGCAATTTATATAGAACAGGCGATTTAAATTAGAACAGGCAATTTATATAAAACAAGTAAGATTATAATATATTTCTTTTGATTGAATCTTTGGCTTTATTCTTACTCGTTACCAAGTGATTTTAAGTCTGAATAAGTCATTCCCCTCTAAGGTCTCTTCGTTGGGCTCTCATCATGGAATGCAATGCCGACTCCTCCCCAATGCCTGGAGATCTCTCGTGGTTCTTTCTGGACCTTACGCTCCTCAGCTCCCCCTGCCCCTCACTGTGTCTCAGCACCTTTCACTGGTCTGTTTCTCACAACTATCAAGTCCTCCCCAGAGTGTCACATGGCCCTTTTCTATCCATCATCTGTCTGAGCTCTGATGTCACGTCCTCAGGGGCCCTTCGCTGATCACCTGCATTAAAGTAGCTCCTCACCTCTACTCTGTCACTGCCATTACACCCTAGTTTATCACTTTCATGAGTCACATTATTTATGTGTTTAGTATCAGTCAGTTTCCCTGAAATGTGATATCCTTATTTGTTCCTGGTGACCGAAATGCTGAACACATAGTGGATGCTCAAAAAACATTGACTTTCTAGCAGTTGGCCTCTAACTATAAGTGTGATATATACAGTGAGTAATCTTTTGCTTTTTCTATTTACTAGAAAGCAATTCAAGATAGAACTATGAAGAATAAAAAATCAACAAATAATAGAGCATCTAGTGCATCTGGCAGGTAATAAAGTTATCATTTTCCTTCAATTATAGGTTTATATTTCAACAAAGCGAGTTTTAGTTGAACTTCTGAAAGTAAATTTCACTTGGTATTCTTAATTTTCCTCTTATGAGAAGAAAGAATTAGTTACTTCATGATCAATCCCCTTAGTTGCATATATTCTTTTATAAAAGGGATTGATTAAGGATCCTCTATGTTCTACATTGCTCATGAGATGGAATTTCTTTCTCCTATTTTTCCTAAGACAGTAGATATAAAGTAGTAATAAAGCTGAAGTCAAGCATTCACCTTTTCTGTTAAGTGTCTTTGTCCAACACATGTAAAATTATACTTTAAACTTTGAGGTTCTATGCACTAAGTTGGTTTATTAAAATGATAAGAACTGATCATCATTCACACTGATGCCTAACTCATAAGTGCTAATCAAAACCTTCTGCATCTTTTACATTTTCATTACTCAAATAGAAAAAAAAATTATCATTACACAAATAGAAGAGGGATCGGCAAACTTTTTCTGTGAATTTGCCAGTTAGTACCTATGGCAGGTCTTATAGGCCATATGGCCTCTGTTGTAATTACTCTTATCTGCTATTGTAGTAGGGAGGCCACTGTTGGCATTATGAAAATAAATGAAATAGTCGTGGTGTAATAACTTTGTATACCAGAAGAGATCGTGAGCCAGATTTTCCCATCAACCCTAAGTTAGAGGTTATTAATCTAACTTTATATTTAAGATGGTTTATGTAGCAAAATGGGGCTTCTCTGGTGGATCAGCAGTAAAGAATCTGCCTGCCAATGCAGGAGAAGGGATTTGATCCCAGGGTCAGGAAGATTCCCTGGAGAAGGAAATGGCAACCACTCCAGTATTCTTGCCTGGGAAATCCCGTGAACAGAGGAGCCTGGTGGGCCACAGTCCGTGGGGTCGCAGAGCTGAACATGACTTGGCGACTAAACAGCAGCAGCAGCAGCTGCAGCAATAAGTCAAAATAATACAAGAAACTATTAAAACCTACTTATTAGTATTGTTTTTTCCCATGTAACTTGAGTCCATATTTTTAAAAATGTTTTAATTATAAATAACCTAAAAAGAAAAATTATTTTGAAGCTATATATAAATTAAGGTAATAAAATTTAAATTATGTTGAAGGGGTCTTTGTGTACTAATAAATAAAATACCACATCATTTTCAGTGTACCAGTGTACCAGTACCAGTGTAATTGTAATAGTTTATCTTGATGCATTTGGATCTTTTCAGATTAATGACCTCTGAGTTCTTAAAGAAGCCTAGTTCTCTAAGGAGGACTCCGTTGACAGCTCCAGCTTCTCACTATTTAGGGACTTTGAGAATCTTGGACCAAAAGCCCTCACAGAAACAGAATACAGAACCTGACAGAGCAGATAACCTAAGGGCAACTGTTTATCAGGTAAAAAGGAAAATATATATTTTTTAAAATTAGAATTAATCACATAAGATTTTTTTATCAGGAAATAAAATGAACTGTCAGAAATGATTTATTAATCCATTTCCTTTATAATGCCTGAGCAATCCAAATCTTCTCCAAGTTTGCTTGTGTGTGTGTGTGTTAGTCATTCAGTTGTGTTTAACTCTTTGCGATCCTGTGGACGGTAGCCCGCCAAGCTTTTCTGTCCATGGAATTCTGCAGGCAAGAATACTGGGATGAGTTGCCATTCCCTTCTCCAGGGGATCTTCCCAACCCAGAAACTGAACCCAGGTCTCCCTTATTGCAGACAGATTCTTTACCATCTGAGCCACCGGGCCTACTTTAAACTTTGCTTAACTGATCATAATTGTAAAGAAAGATAATTTGCATGTATTCCCCAGTGCACCAGGCCCGAGCACTTGTCTCGTGCACCCAACCTGGGCTGGTGATCTGTTTCACCCTAGATAATATACATGTATACATGTAAATCCATGGCTAATTCATTTCAATGTATGACAAAAACCACTGCAATGATGTAAAGTAATTAGCCTCCAACTAATAAAAATAAATGGAAAAAAAAAAAGAAAGATAATTTGCCATTGCAATTGATAAAAATATAATAAAAGCAAAATATAGTTAAGGTATGTCTATGTTTTTATACTTTTTCAACTTAAAGTTTATATTGTTATGAACAAAAGTGTTTTAATATTTTTTTCTTTCCTGAGACTTTTTGTATTTGAGTTAAACTTACTTAGAAAAAAGCTTTTCTAATTTTTCAAAATTCAAAACAGATGTCTTTTTTGGTCTTATCTGTTATATAAAATACATTGTATTTTAGAAAATTGTCCATGTGAATTTCAGAGAAAATGTTAATATATGCAGTCATCATATTTAGTCTTTGAAATCTGTTCCTAATACTGAGAAAGATAACATACATATGATTTTCTTAATTCTTGCTCATTGTTATATATTAAAATAATATCAGAAAAAGGAATGATATTAGCACATATAAAGTTTGTAAGGTTTATGTTTTGGGTTTTTTTAAGTTTTAATTATATATTTCAGAAATAAGAATTCTAATTCATTTGCGAAACTTTGCATAACAAATCTCCTTTTTCTTCTTCTCACAGGAGTGGTTAGAAAAGAAAAATATTTATTTACATGAAATGCACAGAATTAAAAGAATTGAAAGTGAAAACTTAAGGATTGAAAATGAACAGGTATTCTGAAATATAGAAATGAAAAATATTCTGGATTTTTAAGTTAGTAAAATAGTTCTGAATGCTTAATATTTTTAAATCAACTGTTTTTTAAATGGTGAAATAAATTGTATATAAAAATGATTTCTGATTTTATTTCTCTAGTACTTTATACATTTTTAGTTGATATAAATATAACTGGTTTACATGAAAACATAGATATACAGATTTTCTTATATGTGTGCAATAGCTTTGGCACTATTGATTATGAACATTTTTTTCTTGTGACCATGTACCTATTTCCTTCTTAAAAACTGAATTCACTATTACAACTTAGCCAAGAATGTAAAGGGTCTTCAGACATTAACCTTCAGTTGCCCTCTTTTCTGTCTTGAAATTTTTTGTGTCTTTAAGACCAACCTCTACCTGAGTGATGGCCCCTGACCTTCCCATTGAATGGAACTGGGCTCTCATTTCAATCTCACTTGTACTTCACTTTCTGCCTCTATCTCCTGCCCCATAGCCTACAACATGCTTATTTGTTTCTCATCTTCTGAAGTAAAACCACTGAAGGTAACAGAACACAACAAAACCAACCCTTCTTTGTGTTTTTTAATACTACCGTGAATATAAATAGTGCTGAGTGGAGCAGCCCTGCAGGGGGTGCCTGGACACTGGGACACGTTTGAGCTTGATCTGCCACAGTCAGTGCCAGACACCTCATTTGGTCTTCACAGCTCAGTGAGGGTGGCCATACTTCTCCTTCTAAATTATGTTATCTCTGTAATAAGACTTTATAGCATTTAATGCTAAGCAGTATTATAAGGCAAGCAGAATATTATGGGGTTAGACTGAAGTAAGTAAAGTAATAACATTTTCCAGTCTGGCCCATGTTTTCAACATTTGGGACATGCTTATGCAGTAAGAATTGTATGCTCTGATGTCAGTCAAAATTCAGGGTTAAAGCAAAGACCTGTGGCTTTCTGTGTGACTTGGCTAATTTATCTTACTTTGACTGTAATTTTAAACTGAAATAGGTTAAAGAAAGAGGTAAAATTAGTAATTAAAAAGAATTTTAAATTACTTGTCTGGCCTGTAACTTTGCTGATGTTTTTCTTTTTTTTTTTTTCCATTTATTTTTATTAGTTGGAGGCTAATTACTTTACATCATTGCAGTAGTTTTTGTCATACATTGAAATGAATTAGCCATGGATTTACATGTATTCCCCATCCCAGTCCCCCCTCCCACCTCCCTCTCCACCCGATCCCTCTGGGTCTTCCCAGTGCACCAGGCCCGAGCACTTGTCTCATGCATCCAACCTGGGCTGGTGATCTGTTTCACCCTAGATAATATACATGTTTCGATGCTGTTCTCTTGAAACATCCCACCCTCGCCTTCTCCCAGAGTCCACAAGTCTGTTCTATACATCTGAGTCTCTTTTTCTGTTTTGCATATAGGGTTATCGTTACCATCTTTCTAAATTCCATATATGTGTGTTAGTATACTGTAATGGTCTTTATCTTTCTGGCTTACTTTGCTCTGTATAATGGGCTCCAGTTTCATCCATCTCATTAGAACTGATTCAAATGAGTTCTTTTTAATGGCTGAGTAATATTCCATGGTGTATATGTACCACAGCTTCCTCATCCATTCGTCTGCTGATGGGCATCTAGGTTGCTTCCATGTCCTGGCTATTATAAACAGTGCTGCGATGAACATTGGGGTGCACGTGTCTCTTTCAGATCTGGTTTCAAGACAGTATGGTACTGGCACAAAGACAGAAATATAGATCAATGGAACAGAATAGAAAGCCCAGAGATAAATCCACGAACCTATGGTCACCTTATCTTCGACAAAGGAGGCAAGGATATACAATGGGAAAAAAGACAACCTCTTTAACAAGTGGTGCTGGGAAAACTGGTCAACCACCTGTAAAAGAATGAAACTAGAACACTTTCTAACACCATACACAAAAATAAACTCAAAATGGATTAAAGATCTAAATGTAAGACCAGAAACTATAAAACTCCTAGAGGAGAACATAGGCAAAACAATCTCCGACATAAATCACAGCAGGATCCTCTATGACCCACATCCCAGAATTTTAGAAATAAAAGCAAAAATAAACAAATGGGACCTAATGAAACTTAAAAGCTTTTGCACAACAAAGGAAACTATAAGCAAGGTGAAAAGACAGCCCTCAGATTGGGAGAAAATAATAGCAAACGAAGCAACAGACAAAGGATTAATCTCAAAAATATACAAGCAACTCCTCCAGCTCAACTCCAGAAAAATAAATGACCCAATCAAAAAATGGGCCAAAGAACTAAACAGACATTTCTCCAAGGAAGACATACAGATGGCTAACAAACACATGAAAAGATGCTCAACGTCACTCATTATCAGAGAAATGCAAATCAAAACCACAATGAGGTACCATTACACACCAGTCAGGATGGCTGCTATCCAAAAGTCTACAAGCAATAAATGCTGGAGAGGGTGTGGAGAAAAGGGAACCCTCTTACACTGTTGGTGGGAATGCAAATTAGTACAGCCACTATGGAAAACAGTGTGGAGATTTCTTAAAAAGCTGGAAATAGAACTGCCATATGACCCAGCAATCCCACTTCTGGGCATACACACCGAGGAAACCAGATCTGAAAGAGACACGTGCACCCCAGTGTTCATTGCAGCACTGTTTATGATGTTTTTCTTTTAATGCAACATTTCATTATGAGCACTTTGCAGTACCAATTAACCTATTTCGGTATATTCTGAAAACATTTGTTCAGTGCATTTCCCAAAAGTTCCTTCCCATGCATGGTAGTAGTTCAATATCTGAGAAGTGCTTAGAAAAGGACATTTTAAAATACAGTGAATAATTCAGATACCTTTTTTTTTATAAATTAATTTTTCTAAATCAATTGCTTTGAAACCTAGCTTGATGAACATTAAGGAAAATAAAGACACATACTTACATGTATATCTATATCTATTTGTCAATTTATATTAATACATACACATATGACTATTATTTTTCCAAAATAGAAAAGAGCTGCTAAGAGAGAAGAAGCCTTAGCATCATTTGAGGCTTGGAAAGCCATGAAAGAAAAGGAAGCAAAGAAGATAGCTGCAAAAAAAAGGCTTGAGGAAAAAAACAAGAAGAAAACCGAAGAAGAAAATGCTATGAGAAAAGGAGAAGCACTGCAAGTATGCAATAGCTTTAATATCGTTCTTAATTTTAAGTATTTGAAAATTAATGATTAACTGTACTTTTACTATTTTATTATATTCACATTCAATAAGAAGGTAGTTCTTAACTTTTTCAGGCTTTTGAAAAATGGAAAGCAAAAAAGATGGAATACCTTAAGGAGAAAAATAAAAAAGAGAAAGAATATGAAAGAGCAAAGAAACAGAAAGAGGAGGAAACTGTTGCTGAGAAAAGAAAAGATAACTTAACTGCTGTTGAAAAATGGTAATCTAAAATAGCAAATGTTTTGATAGATCTGAAATTAGTAACACTTTAGGATTTTCTAAAATTCATTTACTTGAATGTTATTAATGTACTCAAACTTATCACAGAGACACATTGGGGAATCTTTATTATATATTCTCCTTTAACTTGCCAATGTGTTATACTATCTCACATAGGAATGAAAAAAAGGAAGTTTTTTTCAAGGAAAAGGAAAAAGTAAAAATACATGAGAAAAGACAAGAAGAACTGAAAAGAGCTGAGAAAAAAGAAAAAGATAAACAAGCTCTTGAGGAATATGAAAAATGGCTGGTAGGTGTTATTTGTTAATGCAGTTGTGTATCTTAAATGTACTTTTTGTGACTTTTCTGTCCCTAATTCCAGTTCTGTTTGTCTCATGCCTACTGACTGTTTCTGCCTCTAAGTTACCTTGTTGAATTCATCCTCTCCTATATATATCATAATTTCTTCAATCTACTCATTTCTATTAATGATTGTGTGTGTGCTCAGTGATGTCTGACTCTTTGTGACCCAGTGGACTGTAGCCCACCAGGCTGTTCTGTCCATGGGGTTTTCCAGGCAGGAATCCTGGAGTGGGTTGCCATTCCCTTCTCCATGGGATCTTTCTGGTCCAGGGATAAAACCCTGGTCTCCCGCATTGCAAACAGATTACCATCTGAGCCACCTGGGAATAATTAATGATTCTACTATTCCCTAAAGCACTCCGGCTTAAAACTTTAGTCATAATATTGTGGCCCATTTATTCTTTGCAATAATTCTCATATCTAAAATCATAAAAATCTAACAAGTGTATTACTGAAGATATACCAGGTTAGTTTATGTAGAACTTGGTCCTAACACAGTAAAATAGCATTTAATGAGAAAGTTATTTCATTTTTTATTTCCTTTTGATCTTTCTGATGACCATCTCAAGTACATGGTCTTACTTAAGTGGTTTTTTAATGAAAGAAAGCAAGTGTGAAGACTGGGAGAAATGATAATAAATGACTTTATATTTTTTTGTTTCTTTCAACATTCTTATGCTTATACTTGCTTTTCATTGAGGGCAAGAAAAATATCATTTTCTATCTTAAAATATCAATATAAATATGTATTTTATTAATTGATTGTTGAATAAGTAAATACATTTCAGATGAATAAGTATTTTGCATGCTAAGTTGCTTTAGGCATGTCTGACTCTTTGTGATCCCATCAACTGTAGCCCACCAGGCTCCTCTGTCCATGGGATTCTCCAGGCAAGGATGCTGGAGTGGGTTGCCATGCCCTCCTCCACGGGATCTTCCTGACTCAGGGATTGAACCCATGTCTCTTTCATCTCCTGCATTGGCAGGCAGGTTCTTTACTGTTAGTGCCACCCGGGGAGGCCCAATTGAATACTTTACATTAGTCAAAAAGTGCAAAATTTCTCCATAGGGCTTAGGGTCCAGTAGGGTTTCTGGTTAAAAAATTCATGTAGTTCAACATGAATTTTTTTTTCCTTTTTTTTTTTTTCATTTATTTATATTAGTTGGAGGCTAATTACTTTACAATATTGTAGTGGCTTTTGCCATACATTGATATGAGTCATGAATTTTTGAATTCATGTCTATCAGCATGAATTAAAAGTAAATTCAAAAGTTAAAAGTATGTCATTCAGACATTTTTTTTGGCATTTTTGCATATTTTTTGCATTTTTTTGCATATTTGTATTTCTCTAGTTAGGATTGAGATTGAGCATTTTTCATTTGTATAAGGATTAATTGTATTTATTTTTCCTATAAAGAGTCCATTTTACACTGAACATAAACTAAACATTTTTTCATTGGCCTTTTTCTTCTTGATTTCTAGAAGCTTTTATATGTACTAGGGAAATTAGCCTATCATTTCTGATATGAGTTACAAAATTTTTTTCCCATTGTATTGTCAACTTTGCTCATATTATTTAATGAAGAATTTAATTTTATGTTCAGGTATCAAATCTATTAGTCTTTTTCTATGGCTTCTCAATTTTAAGACTAGTTGAAAAGACCTTCTAAAATCTGAAATCAAAGCTCCCATTTTTCTTCTAGTAACTTTATGATTTTAATATCTTGACATTTTAACATTTGCTCTACTTAGAACTTGTCCTGGTGTATGATGGAAAATATGATTCCATCTTTATTTTTTCCAAATGCATGTTTCATGAAACAGCACATCTTTTTACCCACTGATTTGAGATACTGATTTTAGATACATTAGATCATTCCCATGTTTTTGGGTCTATTTTTTGACTTTCTGTTTCATTGGTCAGTCTCACTAGAAATATTCCAGTGTTATACTCTACCACTTATCAGGACTTTATATATTTTTATATGTTTGTGTTAATCTCCCTTCATAACTTCATTCAAAGTATTTCTGAATATTCTAGGTTTCTTCACATAAAGTTTAGAATCAGTAACTAGAGAAGCACACAAGACCCGAAGCAGGCTATTTAAATGTAGGATAAAGGATGAGATACCTAGGAATAAATTTAGGAAATGCACAAGACCAGTATGAAGAAAACTTCAGAATACTCCTGAAGTACACAAATGAAAACTTGAGAAATTAGAACAAAACTGCCCTCAGATAGAAGCAATATTATAATATTATAAAGATATCAGTTTTCCCCTGAAGTAATTTGCAAATTTAATGTAAATCCTAATAAAAATACCAACAGAATTTATTCCCGTATATGTGTTTAATACTGCTATAATGCTAAATCTATGCAGAGAAACAGTAATAAAATAAGGCAATCAAAATTGCTTCAGTGGTTTGAATGAGAATAGTAATGTTCTATGATGACTTTCTTAGACTGAGCTTTTAAATGATGCTTTGTTCTAAGAAAAATTAAAAGTGTTCTTATATTAAGGCGATGCATGCTAATTCTGCTAGTATCTCTTAGAGTAGTGCATATGTGCTCAATTCATTCAGTCATGCTGGAGTCTTTGGACTTGTAGCCTACCAGGCTGCTCTGTCCGTGGGATTCTTCAAGCAAGAATACTAGAGTGGGTTGCCATGTCCTCCTCCAGGGGATCTTCCCGACCCAGGGATCAAATTCATGTCTCTTACTTCTACTGTATTATCAGGCAGGTTCTTTACCACTAGCACCACCTGGGAAGACCTTTAGAGTACTGATTGAATGTAAATGTCTCAGTTTTCAGTTTTATTTTCACATTGTCTCAAAAATTAGATAGAATTTCCCAAATGACTAAGTCATACATGACTAATGTAAAATACTGAGTTAGGTACATTATGTTTTTTTATAATGTTTAGTCACTTTCTCATTCTAGTCAATCCTGTGGAGAACAAAAACTCATCAAAGACATAAGACAAAATAACTTGTTTTGATGTACAGTATATCCCTATAATACAGTGCTACCTAAAAAAAAATCTATGTACATGTTATAGATCTATTTCCCATCTTACCAATTTCTTATTGAAATTTGCTTGCAAAGAGAATGGGAAATTACTCTTATACAGAAGAGCAAATTACTTCAATTTTCATATAAAGTAACATATCAAAATTTTGATGTACAACCTAGCTTGGGGAGTGAACATTTGATGGGTCACTGTTTTAGGTGAACACTGTAGTCAAAGATCAAGTAAGATGCTTCATGCTGGTTCCCATATTAATTCATGTGCTTAGTGTGTTCTTAGTCGCTCAGTCGTGTCTGACTCTTTGTGATCCCATGGGCTGCAGCCAGCCAGGCTCCTCTGTCCATGGAGATTCTCCAGGCAAGAATACTGGAGTGGGTTGCCATGCCCTCCTGCAGGGGATCTTCCCAACCCAAGGATCAAACCCAGGTCTCCCACATTGCAGATTCTTTACCAGCAGAGCAACCAGGGAAACCCATATTAATTCATAGTTATGTTTAATAAAAATAATAATAATAATAATAATAAACAGAAGATTCATACTCCAACAAACAATGACAGAAGAACTTTTTTAACAAGCCTCTTTTAATTATTTCTCAAGATAACATCAGTTTATCTTAATTGATATTAAGGTTGATACTTAATTGCCCTTTTCCTGCCCTGAGTTTTTAGCATCTGCTGGTAAACTCAAAGTTCCTTCAAGTTCCTCTCTCTCCCCATGTTAAATGGAATGGATAAAGAGATTGATTTAATCAGTTTCTGAGAACACAGCATAGTCACTGCTTTTCCCTCACCTAGCTTAGTGGGCCTCCCACTCTCTAAAGTATTAAGATGATTGACAGTGGTCCAATTACAGCTTTTATTTTGTCAATTAGTATTCTGAAAGGAACTTCTTTACTGGGAGTAGCAAGGATGCAAACATTCTCATGAGGAAGAGCAAAATGTTAAGAGAAAAATAAGTCTCACCTTTCTTCACTTCTTTTGTTGTATATGAATAATTGCGTTCTAATGGACCCTTATACTAACATATTCTTCTTGTGACATTATCAATTCCTTTTATGTACCAATAAAAGAAGTATAGACAACTAATAATTTACCAAAGTGCCACTCTTCTCAAGCCATTCAGCAGAGATTCTCAAAGGGTTCCCTGATACCATGCTCTTTGGAATACAAGGAAACCACTTTATAGTTTTAGCACAGACTTAAAGAAACAGGCAGTCAAGGCTACAGGATGAAAATACCAAATGCTATTAACATTTCAGATATTCCTATATCATTGTTTGGATTTTATATTAATTCTCAGATACACAGTCATTTCTTGGAAGAGAGTATAGCAGGGAAACCAAATGGTTCTAAAATTAACCTGATATAATAAAAATGTGAGACTATGGAAGATAAATTTTCAGAATAATATGAAACAGGATTATACCAGTCACACAATGAAATATGAACTTACCATTTCACTCACCTATGAATCCACATTCTTCTACCTTCCTGGATTATTCCCATCAAGTCTCAGTATATGTAATCTTAAATAAAAATAAACTCTCTTAATTCTTTTCTCTCCAGTTACAATTCCATATTTCACTGCCCTTTTTTATAGTAAACTTCTGGCAAGTTTGCTTATACTCCATAGTTCTTCATATTCTTTCCATCCTTAATAAACTCCAAGCTTAATAACCCTTTCCCAGAACTCCATTTTGAGAGTTATGATTTTGCCAGACCATTTAGCCTATAGGATGTATTCTTTTCTGCCCCATATCCTAGACCCCTGGGCATTCTGCATACTCGATTTCTCCTTCCACTTATAGCTGTCTCTTCCTCTGTTGCCCTGGCTGCTGTTTACCTCTCAACTCTCTGTCTTCCTTCTCCAAATCACCTGTTGACAGCTTTTTTTTTTTTTTAAACTTGTGTTCTAC